GTCGTGCCGAATAGGCAGAACTTGCGATCTTGGCTTAAATAGCAACACTCATCTTGCCATATAGGACAAGTGAAAATTTGTGTATGCAATGATTTCGCCAAAATCATTCTGAACCTAAAGAAAAAAATATATTTCACTGTGTTTGTTTAGTATTAAATTATTGTAAACAAATCTAAAAATATATTTAGTTGCGTTAGGCTAAAATAAATTGTTCTTGTTACAATAAGGTTAGGTAAGTTTTCTAAGATTCTTTTGGAGCAAAATTTGAAATTTTTTGATTAACATTAATGAAAAAAATATATCTTCAAACGTACAAGAGAAAATTTTAGAAAGGACTTAATTTTAAATGAGTTCTTGCTAATTGACCAGTTTTACATATTCGGCACGACATATATATTATATATATATATTATATATATATATATATATATATATATATTATATCTATATCTATATATATATATATATATATATATATTATATATATTATATATATATATATATTATATATATATATATATGTATATATATACGTATATATATATATATATATATATATATATATATATATATATATATATATATATATTTTATATATATATATATATATATATATATATATATATATATATATATCTATATAAAAGAGAGAGAGAGAGAGAGAGAGAGAGAGAGAGAGAGAGAGAGACAGACAGACAGACAGACAGAGAGAGAGAGAAGTACCAACTCTATAGCTGGAATGGGGACCGTCATCCTCAGAGAAGACAATAAACGTACCTTAGGGAAACTCAAGGTTCTCCCCGGAGCTGTTTGAATATTTTCTTCTCCTACTACCCCCTATTTTTTATATTCTATTTGAACATTTATTAATAAACTTAATACATTTTCAGAAAACACAAACATGAATACAATGGTACAATGTATCAAAGATCATGAATTTCCTCCAGCTCCTCCGAGGCTGGACGCGAGCCAAGTATGCAGCAAGCATTTCCCCTCTGGATGGCCACGCTGAGGCGCTGGAACATGAAAGTGGTTGCCCTTGGTTCCCTGGTGGTGTCGATGAGACTGGAACCCAATTCTTTAAGGAAACGTGTGGTATTTTTTCCCCATGATCCCAAGGTCTCTGATCCCACTTGATTTAGGGAATTGGATTTGTGCTCCAGTTCCCCGAATTAAGCCTGAATGCCTTCCACTTCACCCCCCCCCCAGGCGCTGTATAATCCTCTGGGTTTAGCGCTTCCCCTTGATTATAATAATAATCTGATCCCACTGGGACAAATTGATACTGTTCGCTTATGTCCCTGTACTTGCTGATCTTGTACTCCTCCCTGTGGTCGGCTGCTCCTCCCTGTCGCCCGACACTGTGATGGATGTAGGTGTCAGCCAGGGTGGACACACAGGTATAGTCCCATGCTAAGAGCTTGCCATTCTTCCAAGGATAAATGGTGATCTTGTCGGAGCGGTTTACTGGCTTGTGGGTATTGTTGGCTGCTAATGATCGGAGCTCTCTCTCGGCTGGGCATCCAGCTGAAGCAAGGGTTTCTCTTTATGATGTCGTTGACCTCATTGTGTCTTGCATGCCAGCCCTTGGTTTTGGAACAGTTAAGACCATGTAGACCGTATTGGTCTGCTTGCACTTCGCTGCAAATGCACGTATATTCTGTGTGAATTGGGGCAGCAAGGCGCGCAGCCACTGCAATACGGAGGGTCTTAGGGTCAAGTCGCGTTCCCATTGCCGATATGGGAACTATTTGCAGGAAGTCCCTGGAGTGATGTGTGCTCACAGCCTGAAGATGGGCAGTCTCCCTATCTGATGTTGCAGCCCTGAGCATGTTGGCAAGCACCTTTTCAGAGATCGGGCCATCCCAGCTTGACTGTTTGTGAGCCAGTGCTGTACTAGGGTTTTTTGCTGGAGCAGCAAGAGTCTCCCATTCTGTGATGGCACTGGCATAGCTAGAGTCCTGTATTCCTGCTGAGTCACTGAGGTTATCGGGAAGAATTTGTCTTATCAACTCGTTTGATGCTATGGAAAAGGATAGGAAAGCTGGTAGAGCAATCTGGGAGGATCTGCGTACTCCCAGCCCCCCAAGCCTGACCGGAAGTGACGCTTGCAACCACTGTCCATCTCTCTAGCATTGTCTTAAGGAGAGAGTCATATTCCTTGAGTTTTGGACTGCTGAAGGCTGGGGAGCATCTCAGAAAGTAGGTAAGTTTTGGGATTGACAAGCACCTGGTGAGTAGGTAGAAGGCATCATGTGTGTCAATGTCTTTCATCCTGATTTTCAACGTCCGGAGGCCTGAGATTTTTTTTCTAGGATCAGATCGATGGCATTGGACCCAAGAGGAGCACCAAGGAGAGTGCTATTGGCTGGATCAATGGCTCGTGCTCCTGGTAAAACGGCGCTAATATTCTGATTGGTAGAAACTATTTCACATTTGGTTGGGTTTAAAGAAAGGACCAGGCTTTCTCCCATGTCTTTAATTTTACTGATGTCCTCGAGGAAAGATTCTGTTGTGTCAGCTAGGGTACCATCATCCAGGAACCAGATATTGAGCTCACTGGAGAGTGCTTATGTGCCTTCCTTGATGACCAGACAGAATAGAAAGGGGGCACACCCTCACATGAGTCAATTTCATGGTCCCCAAACAATAGTTTGGAAGTCACACTATAACACGATTCTATGAAGGGATAAAGGGACGGGAAGTTTCTATAAACTGCTTGGATAGCAGCGTCCCTTCTGACTGAGTTGAAAGCGTTGGCAAAGTCCAATTTGACCAAGGGTTTTTCATCGGATATGTTAATATACACTCGTGCAGCGTGGGCAGCTGCTTCACAGCCCTGTTGAATGCCAAAACCGAGATGAGTTGGTTTCAGCATTGCAGCAGCCTCTTAACTCAGCGACTAGGCGCCGAAGGGTGTTTCCCACTGCAATGGGCCTGATTCCGCCATCCTTTTTCCGGAGGGCACACAATGAGGCCCCAAAGAAGAGGGGTCTGATAGCCTCTGGGACACTGCCAGCCTGACACAGGTTGGAAAATTTGGTGAGTTCAGACAGCAGCCTCTCTGAAACATCACCAAGTGCTGGACTGAGTATTTGTTTTAAGTGTTGAGGCCTTAAACCGGTTAAATCTCCTGCTGAGCCCTGTAGAAATGACATAGCAGCTTTATACATATCAGCATCCTGTAAGGTTAGATGTTCTTCGCCTGCTCCAATGTCAGGGAGGTCAATGTTGGTACTGGGAGCCCTGGGTGGATGTTTGTCCTTTAGAGCTTGCGCCATGCTGACGTCCTTGGGAGCGATGGTATCCTCACTGGTTACAAGCCTCAGAGCTCCAATAGTATTACCCTCTTTTATTTTTTTGCTAATTTGGGCTCTGATTTTTGAGGCGTCGGGTGTCCTCTTGTTGGCATTTGCCCGGTGGGTGCTTGTCGCCCTAGGGGGGAGATGGACGAGGTTGTCATCCCTTGGGAATGCATTTATTGCCCTAATAACATGTGTTGCTAGTGACTTGTCCCTCCTTGGTGGGACAGCCAAATAGGCATTGCCAAAAAGCAGCAGGTTGTGCCAGGATCTGTTGTTTGAAGGAGCATCGTTGACTTTCTTCAGGAAAGTGAATTTGCTAGCAGCTTGGGGGCGAGCTGCTCTGGGGACGTGTGTCAGAGTCGTGGTGGATGTTAATTTGATTGCAGATTTGAGGTCCTCTGTAGAGGTGAACTCACGGTAGCTGTCAGCGCTGTCTGCTGGGAGGGGCTGTTGGTTTCTTTCATTTGGAGCTCTCCTGGAGCCTACACATCCATTATGTGGACAACTGTTGCCAGTTGAGGGATTGAGTGCACATTCCCTGTAGCACACCCGGCAGATGCCTCGTGAACGACGGCTTTGGCTCTGTCGTGAAGATTCCTGGGAACCCGCGACTCCTTGTGACATTGCTGAGGTGGATGGCTGGGGTTCGTGGGTTGAGGAGGATGGCTGGGGTTCGTGGGTTGAGGAGGATGGCAGGGGTTCGTGGGTTGAGGAGGATGGTTGGGGTTCTTGGGTTGAGGAGGATGGCTGGGGTTCGTGGGTCGAGGTGGATGGCTGGGGTTCGTGGGCTGAGGAGGATGGCTGGCCTTCGTGGGTTGAGGAGGATGGCTGGGGTTCGTGGGTTGAGGAGGATGGCTGGGGTTCGTGAGTTGAGGAGGATGGCTGGGGTTCGTGGGTTGAGGAGGATGGCTGGAGTTCGTGGTTGAGGAGGATGGCTGTGGTTCGTGGGTTGAGGAGGATGGCTGGGGTTCGTGAGTTGAGGAGGATGGATGGGGTTCGTGGGTTGAGGAGGATGGCTGGGGTTCGTGGGCTGAGGAGGATGGCTGGGGTTCGTGTGTTGAGGAGGATGGCTGAGGTTCGTGCGTTTAGGTGGATGGCTGAGGTTCGTGGGTTGAGGAGGATGGCTGGGGTTCGTGGGTTGAAGTGGATGGCTGGGGTTCGTGGGTTGAGGAGGATGGCTAGGGTTCGTGGTTTGAGGTGGATGGCTGGGGTTCGTGAGTTGAGGAGGATGGCTGGGGTTCGTGGGTTGAGGAGGATGGCTGGGGTTCGTGTGTTGAGGAGGATGGCTGGGGTTCGTGGGTTGAGGAGGATGGCTGGGGTTCGTGGGTTGATGAGGATGGCTGGGGTTCGTGGGTTGAGGTGGATGGCTGGGGTTCGTGGGTTGAGGTGGATGGCTGGGGTTCGTGGGTTAAGGAGGATGGCTGGGGTTCGTGGGTTGAGGAGGATGGCTGGGGTTCGTGGGTTGAGGAGGATGGCTGGGGTTCGTGGGTTGAGGTGGATGGCTGAGGTTCGTGGGTTGAGGAGGATGGCTGGGTTCGTGGGTTGAGGTGGATGGCTGGGGTTCGTGGGTTGAGGAGGATGGCTGGGGTTCGTGGGTTGAGGAGGATGGCTGGGGTTCGTGGGTTGAGGAGGATGGCTGGGGTTCGTGGGTTAAGGTGGATGGCTGGGGTTCGTGGGTTGAGGTGGATGGCTGGGGTTCGTGGGTTGAGGTGGATGGCTGGGGTTCGTGGGTTGAGGAGGATGGCTGGGGTTCGTGGGTTTAGAAGGATGGCTGGGGTTCGTGGGTTAAGGTGGATGGCTGGGGTTCGTGGGTTGTGGTGGATGGCTGGGGTTCGTGGGTTGAGGAGGATGGCTGGGGTTCGTGGGTTTAGAAGGATGGCTGAGGTTCGTGGGTTGAGGTGGATGGCTGGGGTTCGTGGGTTGTGGTGGATGGCTGGGGTTCGTGGGTTGAGGAGGATGGCTGGGGTTCGTGGGTTTAGAAGGATGGCTGGGGTTCGTGGGTTAAGGTGGATGGCTGGGGTTCGTGGGTTGTGGTGGATGGCTGGGGTTCGTGGGTTGAGGAGGATGGCTGGGGTTCGTGGGTTTAGAAGGATGGCTGAGGTTCGTGGGTTGAGGTGGATGGCTGGGGTTCGTGGGTTGTGGTGGATGGCTGGGGTTCGTGGGTTGAGGAGGATGGCTGGGGTTCGTGGGTTTAGAAGGATGGCTGGGGTTCGTGGGTTAAGGTGGATGGCTGGGGTTCGTGGGTTGTGGTGGATGGCTGGGGTTCGTGGGTTGAGGAGGATGGCTGGGGTTCGTGGGTTTAGAAGGATGGCTGGGGTTCGTGGGTTGAGGTGGATGGCTGGGGTTCGTGAACTCTCAAGATATCATTGAACGGGTTCGCTCTCTCCCGACTTGTAAGATGCTTAGTCTTGATGTTGAGTCCCTCTTCACCAATGTCCCTCTTGATAATATCCTTGATTTTCTTAGAGAGAAGGCCCTTGAAGGGTTTCTACATCTCCCTATACATATTGATGTCTTTCTTGATCTTATCCGCCTCTGTATGGACTCTAATTCTTTTTTCTTCCAAGGGAAATATTATTCTCAACCTTCGGTGTGGCTATGGGCTCTCCTCTCTCCCGTCCTTGATAATCTTTAAATGGAATACTTCGAGACTGTTCTTCTTCCTACTATCGATGTGCGACCTTCACTCTGGCTGCGCTATGTTGACATCTTTGCTCTGTGGCCTCATGACTCTTGTCTCTTCCTATCATTTCTTGATGCTCTTAATAATCTTGCCCCTTCCATTAAGTTTAAAGCTGAATGGGAATCTAATTCTTTCCTTCCTTTCCTTGATGTTCATGGGTCCACCGCTCAGATACAGGTTTTGCCTTTTCCGTTTACCGCAAACCTATGCACAGTGGCATGTACATTCACTAATTTTCTTATCATGCTTCCTCTGTCAAGAAAAGTGTTCTTATCTCCCTCTTTCTGCGTGCCCTCCACATATGTGATCCTCAGTTCCTTCAATCAGAAATTTCCACTCTTCATAATTTATTTTCCCGTCTTGGCTACCCTTCCCATTTCATAGACTCTGTCTTCTCACGTGCTAAACGTAATTTCTTCTCTCCCAAACTCTCTACTCCTGGGAACTCTTCTATCCTCTGCCTTCCCTACATTTCCGGTCTTTCTAATCTCAACAATTCTCTCCGTCCCTTAGACATCAAACTTACTTTCCGTCAGACTAACACTCTTCGCACTAATCTCGTTCATACCTCTCCTCCCTCTACTGATGCTCCTGGTGTCTACTCTATTTCTTGTTCCTCATGTCCTCTTCAATACTTTGGAGAAACTGGCTGATCTCTTTCTGACAGACTTTGGAAGCACAAAAAAAAATTGTGTTAGTCTTCCCGACACTAACAATGCTCTTTGCTGTCACGTCAGAGATCACAGCCATCCTATTGACTGGTCTTCTGCTAAAACTGTCTTCCCTACTTCCAACTTTAACAGTCGCCATCTGGTTGATTCCTCCCTAATACACAACTTTCTTTGTATTAGCCTTAGTCCTGGCTTCGTCTCTGTAGATGCCTTCCTCTCCCGCTACATTGTAAAATGCTCCAAAATTCAGAACACTCGTGACCTTACCAGCTCCCTCCTTTTTCTTCTTCTCCCTCTTCCCCTTTCCTCTTTCCTTTTTTTCCTTTGGGTTGTCTTTCTTCTGCCCTGTGTATTTGTTCCTTCTTTATTTATTTATTTGTTTCCCATCCCTCGGTGTTCTTGCTCTTACCCTCTGTGGGCACCAGCTCCCCTGCAGTGATCCTCTTTCTTAGTATTTGAGTGACCCCTCCTACTCTTACTACCTCCTCACTACTACTTCCTTCCACCTCTACTACTACCATTATTACTACTACTACCACCTCCTGCCTATATATACCCATCCTGCTCTCCTTCTCGTTAGTGTGACTTTGTAAATGGTCCAAGTCGGACCGAAACGTCGTAGTAAGCTCCTCTCTTCTATGTGCGGGTTAGTTGCGTATTGTTCCACTCACGGCATTGTGCCTTTTTTTGTTATTTAACTTAAAAACAGCATTGTTGATTCGACTTTCGCAAAAACAGGCTTGTTACGTGCATAGGACTCCTACGAGTTCGATTTTAAATCCCTTCATCTTTCTAATGAATTTCTGACAAAAGCGCCACATTTCAAGGATTATCTTGAAAAGTTGCTGCCAAGACTCAGAGACAATATCTTCATCCCATAGTTCGAAAAACCCTGGAAACCGTTAAACTGGACAAACAACAACTGTGAATCACTAAATAACATCATGAAGCTATCAACGAACTGGAAGGTTCTGAAGATACGTGGACATTCAGCGAGCCATCCATGGAAACTTGCAAGTCGTCCCGAATTTAGTCAAATTTACGGTAACCAGTGCTGTGAGGCGTGCGAAAAGTACAGCAGAAAAGGACACTAGTGCAGAAATTTCTCGAAGTCGATCATAGAAAAGGACAATAATTTCATGGTTTTAACGAAAGAAATATTAAAGATTCCTCAGCGGAGAAGTACAAAAAAGCCAGGACACCGCACACGAACAAAATCATGGAAGATAAGTAGTACGTCAAGGACGAGATCATGATAGTTACAATAAAGTGACCACTGACTATGAAATAATGTTCCGTTGTGCATTCACAATATTTGTAATTTTGACGTATTTATCCAATAAAATGTGCTGTTTTACACGTATATGTTTATTATCCAATACCTGTATCGTACTCATGAGTTTAAATGCAGATGTATAATGAATGTATAAAACGTACTCCTGACGTATCAAATTATGTGCTATTTCTAACACCTGTACCGTACCTGACTTCAGGTTTTTGTACAATGTGACTTGTTCTCGGTAAATCCAAGCTTGTTCCCGGGTATTATCGGTAAATCTGACTTGCTCTTGGTTCATCTCGGTTGTTCTCGGTAAATCTAATTTGCTCTCAGTAAATCCAACGTTGTTCCCGGTTGTTCTCGGTTAATCTCGGTTATTCTCGGTAATTACTAGGACCCACTTGTTGTCGGTAAATCCAAGCTTGTTCCCGGTTGTTCTCGGTTGTTCTCGGTATATCCGAGCTTGTTCTCGGTTGTTCCCAGTTCATCTCGGCTGTTCTCTGTAATTAGTAGGACCGTTCTCACTACATAACTCGTCTGAACAACGTTGTCTCCGTCACAACGAGGCCTAGTGAAAGCGGCTTGTTGTGATTCCAAACTCCGCATCTGGTCTCCCAAGATTGGCTTTTTCTCGTTACTGCTAACGCATCGCCATTTCTCATGGAAAGATTGACACTCTGCATCAACTTTTCTTTGTAGTCGCCATTTGTAGGATGTCATACCACTTTAAGTTTTAATAACTATCCATTGTGTGTTAACACTTCCGAAACGTGTACTGTACACTTCCAGCCTGCTTGGCACTGCCTGTCCTCTGAGTCCGGGTCGGTGTGTTTACACCTACCGATACGTACTTCACTAAAATGTAAAAATTAATTCTGTTCCTGACATCTATTGAAAATCAATCGATATTTTTGTCAGAAGAAATATTAGTCAAAATGGCCGCCGAAGATTCGATTTGTTGTTACTTGTCGTCTGTCGGAGAAGGAATTATTTAATATTTTGTGTGAAAGTAAGAAAGAAAGTGAGAGATGAAGATCTTAATGGTAATTTTTCATCGAAATATGTTTCGAAATGCAGAACACGATGGATGGGAGACTGATTCAAAATTTGAAGACCGATCGGATTTTATAAAATATTGTTAAATTACTCGCACGTAAAAAATGTCAGTATATTTTTCCAGAATAAAAGTTAAAAGGTATGTTAATAATTCTGCATACTTATTTTGATTTACAGCGTAAATCGGTATGGGGAAGGTTAATATATATTTAATGTTTGCTATGAAAAAAGCTCCTAGCTTTATTGAATTTCGAGTCCCCGCCTGCGGTTGCCTTATCTGGGTCAGACCAAATAATTTCACGGGCCGGACGTTCCCCACCCCTGCTGTAGATAAGAACACATACACATTGAAGACATTTATTGAGGAAGCCGTTTAGCCACATGCGACTTCTTCTGGCAATTATAGCCAAACTTTTCCTCAATAAATGTCTTGAATTGCGCAGATGTAAATAAATCAAGAAACAGGCGAAGCTTGAACCCACGGCAAGTAAACCTTAAAACTCACAGTCTTTATCTACAAACTGTCGGTATCACCTTCCTCTCCTGTTACGGCTGAGTTTCTTTGCCAGTTTTTTCCACAAGGCAACAGAAGGGAACACTGCAGAAGATCTGCTGGCCTATACTTAGCAGATCGTTCTCAAATTCAACCTGACTCAGTCATACATTGTTTGCCGAAGTTATCCGAAGGTTTGGCTTCAAGACATCCTCTGTGACCTGGCGGTGCGCTCACTGGTCATCTTCTATAGAGAGTTTAATAAAGAAGTTTGCATAGGCTTCACCCTGGCCACATATGTCCCTTTTTACATGATCGCTAGAGCACTCAGCTCACACACTGAGGTCCGGAGATCGAATCCTCGGTACGGCTGGAAAACATAGGACGTGCTTCCGTAAGACACTTTCTGTCTATGTTCACTCATCAATATAAAATGTATAAAAGCCTACTGATGTGGGTCGCATCCTTAGACAAAACTGACCTAATTTGCCCGAAATGTTCTGCTTAACAAGCGGCTTTCTCTACAGTGGTAAGTCATTGATGTCAGCTAGGCCTGTACAAGTACTTGTAATAATAAAGATATATTATATTCTTCTTCTTCTTCTTCTTCTTCTTCTTCTTCTTCTTCTTCTTCTTCTTCTTCTTCTTCTTCTTCTTCTTCTTCTTCTTCTTCTTCTTCTTCTTCTTACTGTTATTGTTGTTGTTGTTGTTGTTGTTGTTGTTGTTGTTGTTGTTGTTGTTGTTGTTGTTGTTGTTGTTGTTGTTGTTGTTGTTGTTGTTGTTGCTGTTGCTGTTGTTGTTGTTGTTGTTGTCAGTATGGTCCTGGCCAACGCAGTGGTCCACGAGTTGTAAGACTGGATTGCCATGGAGTGGAGTCCCTGCCGGTCTGTGATTTGAATGGCTTGAATACATTAACAGAAGAGTTGGATACATTACTATAAGTGAAGCACATAAATAATTTGGCATGAAAAACCACAAAACATGACTGGAGTGCTTAAAAAATGTAGTTTGATTACCTAATCAATATAAAAGAAAAACGTAAACAACGGTGGAGAATCTTAATAACGTGCTGTAGTGCATAATAAACATGTCTGCAGTACGTTGAACATATCTGCAGTACGTTGAACATGTCTGCAGTACGTTGAACATGTCTGCAGTACGTTGAACATGTCTGCAGTACGTTGAACATGTCTGCAGTACGTTGAACATATCTGCAGTACGTTGAACATGTCTGCAGTACGTTGAACATATCTGCAGTACGTTGAACATGTCTGCAGTACGTTGAACATCGTATATAATACCTATAGGTTGATGAGTATCTTTATTGTTGAAACATTTCGCCTACACGGTGGGCTTCTTCAGTCAAATACAGAGAATGAACTGAAGGCAGAAGTGACGAGGTAAAGATGATGTAATCAGTCCATCAACCTTGGATAAATAGTTGATGGACTGATTGCATCACCTTTACCTCATCACTTCTGCTACTTCCCAATCCATTCTCTGTTACTGAAGAAGCCTAGCGAGTTCAGAAACGTTTCAACAATAAATATACCTAACACACACACACACACACACACACACACACACACACACACACACACACACACACACACACATACAATTAGCTGCTTCTTCTAGGTATCCAAACAAATGTTTGTGCTTAATTTAACTTCAGTAAAGATGTATCATGGAAAGACAAAACTACGAATCATAGTATATATATCACAATGCAGAGAGAGGGTAAAAGAATTCATTCTTTAAAGTTGAAGGATGAAGGAGAAGGAAACACAGAGGGAAGATACGGACAAACACTAACGTACCTTAGCATCGTCAGAAATATATAACACTTTCTTATACATCTTCCTATGATTATCTTTCCCTTTAGTTTATTAATTTTTTATCCAGCAGAGCGTGTATACGTGTGTATGTGTAAAACATACATATGTTAATTCCGTTCACTAAATTATCTTCAGCTGGGAGGAGAACTGAGCAACGAGACGCAACTTGCGGAAGCAATGAAAGTTGACGTCCCGGAGAAGGCAACTCATGGAAAAGAAAAAAAATGGATCCTTTTCAGCTTCAGAAAATTTACAGCACAGTGAAGAGGCTGTTGAAGGTGAAGAGGGAAAGAAGTGGTCTCGCTGGCCATGTATGTTTGGATTTTAACTGCCGGGGCCTGCAGCTGATTGCCACGCTATGGTCACTGGTTATGGAGTCTGCACACAAGGTGAAGCTACAACTAAAATATTTTTTGTTGTAACTCACCAACCAAAAGTATTTAGTCACTTTGATTTTCTATGATTTTTTTAATATCTTACGAAATTTGATTAAAATTTAGTTTTTAGGTGAGCATATTATGGCTGCCTGAGCAGCAAGTTATATATGAAATTCCAGTATTCATACAAGGAACGTGGAAAAGATGAACAATCTAAATGGAGTACATAAACACACAGTCAGGATTACATAAGCTGGAAATTAAACACGAAAGAAGGCTGAAGTACACAAAAAATCCGGATGGCGTAAACAACAATCAGGCTGGAGAAAATTCTATGAACTACAAACTAATAGAGCATATTCTAGCAGTTTGTAGTTCATGCAGCCTGTTTCAAAGCGTCATACGTTTTCTTTCACAATGAGGCAGGCCAAAACAACATGGGTTCGACTCCTTGGCTAGTAGTGTTGTTATTGATCAATACCACTTGTTCCTTGGGTACAATAATATAATATACTGCTTGTTGAGCTAGTACACAAACAGGGAGTATAATGAAATTAGCTCAGAGGCGTCCACACCACCGTATGTCCATCGATGGTGGGTACAACATCTAGCTTGGCTGGAGGCGCCATTGTTAAGGATTGCGTGGTCTAGTGGTCTAAAGCGTCATGCGTTTTCTCTCACCATGAGGAGGGCCAAAACAGCATGGGTTCTACTCTTTGGTTAGTATTGATCAATACCACTTGTTCCGTGGGTACAATAATATATATATATATATATATATATATATAGATAATATATAAATATATATATATATATAAATATATATATATATATATTATACAATATATATAAATATATATAATATATATATATATATATATATATAATATATAGATATATATATATATATGCAATAAGAATCACAGTAAACAGGTGATATCAGAATATGCAAAACAACCACTGTGAAAGAATAGAGAAATTCCAAGCGCTTTCGTGACTACTCACATTATTAAGAAACTATGAAAGTAAAGCATCCAAGGAAGGTATATAAGGGGTCTGGCCAACACCTCACTATCAGATCCCACAACAGTTAAACACCTGACGCGCGCCGGCCCAACTGGACAGGTCCTTCGCACAACCCACCAACAAACTATTCTACCCAAGAAAATTTTAAAAAATTATTATTTGTCCAGTGTATTATTAAATTCTTCCCAAATTCTATTCTATTAGATCCATTTATAATTAATAGAATTTGGGAAGAATTTAATAATACACTGGACAAACAATAATTTTAAAAATTTTCTTGGGTAGATTAGTCTGTTGGTGGGTTGTGCGAAGGACCTGTCCAGTTGGGCCGGCGCGCGTCAGGTGTTTAACTGTTGTGGGATCTGATAGTGAGGTGTTGGCCAGACCCCTTATATACCTTCCTTGGATGCTTTACTTTCATAGTTCCTTGATAATGTGAGTAGTCACGAAAGCGCTTGGAATTTCTCTATTCTTTCAGAGTGGTTGTTTTGCATATATATATGTATATATACATACATACATATGTGTACATATATATAAACATGACGGAGTACGTAAACAATTATTCAGCAGTACCTAGTGAAGGTAGGTAATGTATTATAAGGAGGCTACTTACTGTACATTAGTCAAGAAGGCTGGATTGCATAAAGAGCTACGCTAGTCACCATCTGGAGAAGACCCGGGCCGGAAGTACCGGCAAATCTCTAATGAAAATGAATGCTACGCTAGTGTACATATTTAAGCAGGCTTGAATACATAAAGAAGGCTGGAAAACATATGTTGGCTGACGCACATAAGCAGGTTAGAGTACATGATTGTGTCTGGGGAGCATTATCGAGCATAATGAACCAGGAGGACGTCACTTACATCAGTTTTCCTTTGGAACTGTTTTCATGGAGTCGTGTTTAAGTAACTTTTCCATCCTTCGGGCGAGCCAGAAACTCTGTTTTCGTCTAACTGGTTTTTCAATAAATTTATGCTGTGAAAGATTTTTTCTAAATCTCACTGATGAAGGAATGTTAATTTATTGTAATCGTAAAGCCAGCAACTCTACTTTATGATTCTTGATAAGCATTATTCGGTTCTGATTCTTCTTTAGAAGAGTATTTTCGCTAGTTCTCTTTGAGAGGATATTCTTTGATTCTAAGTCTTACTGAGAAAGTTGAGCTAATTTTGGATTCTCTTAGAGAAACAAAAATTAGCTTCCTATCTTCGCTGAGAAGAATGCTGATTTTTAATTCTTAGTGAAGAAGCTTTGTGCAGAGGAGCAAGTTGTTTGCTTGTTATGAGTGAGGCAGAAAATAGATTTTAATTACCGTTCTTCCATAAGGTTTCATGAAGCGAGAGAATAAATATTTAGCAGTAGCACATAAAAAAAATAAAGCAAGAGAAGAAATAACACGTATACTATATGGTAATTCTTCAACCACCTGTTTTATGAGAACTGAAAGTGATTTTGGTGTAAAACAATAGATTAGCCATAATGCTTATTGATATATGAATATAATGAAATAAAGAATATATAATACAGATCAGGAAAGAGAATAACTCAGTGCTCTTGGTTCTCAGGGTATCTGTTACGTTATGTATAATTACCAGTTGCTAACTAATTTTTTTCTTTTATTTTAACCGATATTTATACAGGGTTTATGTATAGATAAGTTATGCACTCTAATACGTGTATTATATTTAATTTATCATTAGTTATTACAAGGAATTATGCACGAATGAATTCAAAAGAAATAAAAAGTAACAATGTATTTAAGTATGTGCTACAAGCATATAAGAAACATTTTAGTGAAAAGTTTACTTCCCTTGAATAAGTCAATTAATGGTCTAGGGTAGAGTTTCACTGAGCTTCACCATCACTCGACGGTGTTCATTGAAGTTGGCATTCTGCTTCATGATTCTTTTATAGCAACTCTAGCAGTGTAAATACATGACCTCTCCCATACAACGGTAGTAGAACTACTAGTACAACATGTTTCTTTTATCTCTAGGAAGCATTAACAAGACTGACTGTGTAGCTTAGTGCTTAGTGATGAATAAAACATTCAGTATATTATTTCTCCCACACTGGTGAAGTGTGGAGCTTGTGTGTGGCTTGCCTCTCTGAATATAAATGTAATAAATGTTTGGAGGATGAGAGAAGTTCCATGTCACACATTCACTTTTATCAAGCAAGGATACATATCTGCGCTCCTAAAAGCATGATGCTTATCTCTGGGAAGGATTCTTGGAGCGGCGTCATCTATCAGGTGGCCATTTTCTGTCGCATCTCAATGGCTGGTGTAACTGTATGTAAACACTTCTACCTAAGTGCTCGCTAGAGAAAGATTTCGCGTATAAAAGTTCCCGTGTTTCACCAGTACAGGATGTCGGTAAGTTCCTGAATTTATTTACTGTGATCAGGCTAAGTAAAATTCGTCAGGAAACAGCACAGTTGTTTCATGACGAGGATCTAAGTCATATGATGACCCACCACTGGAAATTTTGGTCCTCTGTCCGAAGCCTTCCACTGGCTTATCGGTCTACCCTTTTAAAACTTAATATTAATATTCGTTAGTGACTAGTTGAATGCTTGAAAAGTCTTGATATGCAAATAAAATGCGTAATACGTTTATAAATAACATTGCCATACAAGAGAATCTATTATACACAAATAAGAGGCCCATAATCGCACTCCTCCGCCAGGGTTTTGGGACATTATCCCGGGTCCAAAATCACTTGTAATTATGGCTCATATAATCTGTCATTTCAGTTCTTATCTACCGATTTTTTATGGATCAGGAGACCAGTGGAAAAGAGACTATGACCTGGTCGATCCTCGTGTTGACAGTGTAAGTGACCGTCGTTCTCCAGATGAGAGGGAAAATGAAGATGAACATTTGCCTGATAAAGTCTCATCGTCAAGAGAACATCAACAGCCAGTTACTAGCGACGAGTTACCCTAAAAAAAATTTCTGTTAGAAGACAACCAACTGAAGATGAGGAAAATGTATCAACCAAATTGCTGCCATTGAGTCTGTCGGGAAGAAACTTTTTAATGACCAAAAAGCTTAAATTAAAACCCAAATCTTTTAATTAACATTTTAACATTTTTGACCATTTTTGGGCTGGTGTATATTTTGTAACCCCTTAGGTTTTGGATTTTAGGGCCAAAATATTAAATTTTTCGAAAAAAGCCTGAGGAAACATACCTTATCAACAGTTATACTTTAAGTGTATAGGAAAACGATTGACAAATATTTTTTATTTGTGTGACTGTAGTCTGACTAATTGTTAGGGTTTTCAGTTCTTTCTCAGAATGGGCCGAATGTGGCTCCGTTTAGTGATGGAATTCTCTTATATCTTCCGTTTCGTCATCTGCCGTCTTGCCTCTTTACTCTTACTGGTTTCTCTTCTGTTATCCTTACTTTTTTCTTACTTCACTTACTCCTGCCAGACAGTCCACGTAAGAATTAGCGTTCTTTGATGTTGGTTTCTTCTAGTGTTTTGAACGCCAAAATTAGACTTCCTTATTTTGTTAAGTGTTGTCTCATACCTTGGTTTTCAACATGTATTTTTTTCCTCCCAGTCCGCAGTTC